TAAGCCAAATAGGCATATATACAAATGAGTTTCAGTCTGTGATTCAGAAGGGCAGAGTTGTAATAATATCAGTTCAGAGTGTTTTTTGAGGTTAACCCATGCCATCCATCATGGGGGATCTCTTTGCTTATGTTTAGGAATCTTTGACCCGCAGAATCCAGACAGTATAAAAGAGGTTGTTTCTCCTTGTCAGGGATTTTTATGCCCTACACTCTGGATCCTAAATCTGATGGGATGAGTTCATGTGTAGGTGTCTCCTTCCTGGAGGGAGTTAGGGATTGGTCCAGGTTCCAGATGGAGCAATTTGCATAGTCTGAGGCAAAGGACTGAGACAGCCTACAGTGAATGGAGTTGAAGGGAGTGGAGGGAGAGGAGTGACAAAAGGTCTGGTTTTGACTATGAAAAGCATAATGTTTATTAAAGAACTTAAAATCTTTGAATGTATGAAATCAGGTGGCTGTACTGCAAAGTTAAGAAAAATACTTGTGATCATTCAGCAGTAACAGAAGTTAACATGGCATAGTTATTCCTATCCATTGAACCAGATCTATTTAATCTCTGTTCATGTCAAATGTGCGTATTGCCATTCTGTTGTCTTGAGAGCTATGCCATGCTTCATCAGACAAAACTGTCAGGTGAAGGAATGGATCTGTGGGTGTCTTGCTTTCTTGGCTGATAATATTCAGACTAGGGATTGGTGAGAGAAGGGGAAGCGATGATGACTAATTGCATAATTGCCCCCAGCCAATCAATCTACAAGAGTCTGTGTTCACTCCAGTGTTCTCTAAAAATTGTGCGCTTATGCGACCGCTCAGAAGAAATTCAAATGCCACCCAACTGATTAGCAGAGTGCCCACAGATAGGTTTTGTGTTTTTATTGATGGTGCATATTTGCACATGCTAAGTGAACCTAAAATAATTCTGCACATGAATGGCAAAGATTAAAGGGAACATTGATTGACTTCATACCTTTTGTGTTTTTTGATTTAATACACATTTTCATTAAGCTTAGAGAGCATCCAAACTAAAGCAAGCACACTGTTTGCTTAGGTTCTAATCTGTGGTAATTTGGAATAACAAATTTAGAGAATGCAATCTGGTAAGTACACCAGGCTTTCTTGTCGCTCTTAAAAACAGGCGGTTGTTAAATGATATTTCCATACTTTCGATTTCTAACTTTTTGTTAAGTTTATTTGAGATAATTTAAGAGTATTTAGGATCCAGAAGGTGTCAGATGAAAACAGCACCTTTGTTTTCAACCCTAGCCATCGGTCTCTTGGTTTTGATCTTTCTAGCTGGCAATCTGAGCAACAAGTAATTTCCGACACTTTCTTTTCTTTCAATTACCCGTTGTTTTGAGGGAGTGCCACATGGTGCTTGGGAATGGCCATTCTGACATTTAAGGTGTGTTGCTTAACTCCGTGACATTTTCCTGAGGTATCAAGGGTTGCGAGGCCCCTTGCTAGCAGCTGCCCTTGGTGTGAGGGAGCCTTGTCTGTGCCAGCCAAGGGGTCAGTTCCCTGACAACCCTAGTCACAGGCAGCACAAGTATTCTCTTTTCAGCCTGCACAGGCACTGCTGTCCCTCATGCAGGTTAGCAATAGGCATGCTCCAACCCTTGAGTTGTCTGAGTGTCCCCTGTTCTGCTAGTCACTCTCAGCATTTATAGATCCATTACTCCCAAAAGAATAATACACACCAGCTTATTAGCTTCATCTTAGTATACAGCTCCACTTAGCACACAGCTCTTAGATTTATTTGTAGAGAAATCAAGTACATCTTTAACAAAGTACCTCGCTTCTTTGTTAGAGAGCAAGTAGGATTAATGGAAATGAAAGGTTACATGTAAAATAAAATCATAACATGCATTCTTGCATGATCTCAAAATAAAAAAGGAGTCATATAAAAAATGGAAACTAGGACAAATAACAAAGGATGAATATAGGCAAGCAACACGGGAATGCAGGGGCAAGATTAGAAAGGCAAAGGCACAAAATGAGATCAAACTAGCTACAGGCATAAAGGGAAACAAGAAGACCTTTTATAAATACATTAAAAGCAAGAGGAAGACCAAGGACAGGGTAGGCCCACTGCTTAGTGAGGAGGGAGAAGCAGTAACAGGGAACTTGGAAATGGCGGAGATGCTCAATGACTTCTTTGTTTCGGTCTTCACCGAGAAGTCTGGAGGTGTGCCTAACGTAGTGAATACAAGCAGAGAGAGGGTAAGTTTAGAAGATAGGATACACAAAGAACAAGTTAAAAATCACTTAGGAAAGTTAGATGTCAGCAAGTCACCAGGTCCTGATGAAATGCATCCCAGGATACTCAAGGAGCTGATAGAGGAGGTATCTGAGCCTTTAGCTATGATCTTTGAAAAATCATGGCAGACAGGGGAGATTCCAGAAGACTGGAAAAGGGCAAATATTGTGCCCATCTATAAAAAGGGGAATAAGAACAACCCAGGAAATTATAGACCGGTCAGTTTAACGTCTGTCCCAGGGAAGATAATGGAGCAGGTAATTAAGGAAATCATATGCAAACACTTGGAAGGTAATAAAGTGATAGGGAATAGCCAGCATGGGTTTGTGAAGAACAAGTCATGCCAAACTAATCTGATAGCTTTCTTTGATAAGATAACGAGCCTTGTGGATAAGGGAGAAGCGGTGGATGTCATATACCTAGACTTTAGTAAGGCATTTGATACGGTCTCGCATGATATTCTTATTGATAAACTAGGCAAATATAACTTAGATAGGGCCACGATAAGGTGGGTGCATAATTGGCTGGATAACCGTAGTCAGAGAGTTGTTGTTAACGGTTCTAAATCCTGCTGGAAAGGGATAACAAGTGGAGTTCCTCAAGGGTCTGTTTTGGGACCCGTACTGTTCAATATCTTCATCAATGATGTAGATATTGGGATAGAGAGTACTCTTATTAAGTTTGCAGATGATACCAAACTGGGTGGGGTTGCGACTTCTTTGGAGGATAGGGACATAATTCAGAATGACCTTAGCAAGTTAGAGAAATGGTCGGAGGTAAACAGGATGAGGTTTAATAGAGAGAAATGCAAAGTGCTCCACTTAGGAAGGAACAATCAGTTCCATACATACAAGATGGGAAGCGACTGTCTAGGAAGGAGCATGGCGGAAAGGGATCTAGGGGTCATAGTGGACCACAAGTTGAATATGAGTCAACAGTGTGATGCTGTTGCAAAAAAAGCAAATATGATTCTAGGTTGTATCAACAGGTGTGTTGTAAGCAAAACTCGTGAAGTCATTCTGCCGCTCTACTCTGCGCTAGTTAGGCCTCAGCTGGAGTACTGTGTCCAGTTCTGGGCGCCACATTTCAAGAAAGATGTGGAGAAATTGGAAAGGGTACAGAGAAGAGCGACAAGAATGATTAAAGGTCTAGAGAAGCCTATGAAGCCAGGCTTCATGAACTGGGCTTGTTTAGTTTGGAAAAAAGAAGATTAAGGGGGGACATGATAGTGGTTTTCAAATATCTAAAAGGGTGTCACAAGGAGGAAGGCGAAAATTTGTTCCTCTTGGTTTCTGAGGACAGGACATGGAGTAATGGGCTTAAAGTGCAGCAGGGGAGGTTTAGATTGGACATTAGGAAAAAATTAGGGTGGTCAAATATTGGAATAAATTGCCAAGGGAGGTGGTGGAATCTCCCTCTCTGGAGATATTTAAGAACAGGTTAGATAGACATCTGTCAGGGATGGTGTAGACGGAGCTTGGTCCTGCCTTGAGGGCGGGGGGCTGGACTCGATGACCTCTCGAGGTCCCTTCCAGTCCTATTATTCTATGATTCTATGATTCTAGAGCCTAAACATAACTAACAAGATGCTCTCTTGTCTAATAAAGTACCATTATTCAAAATCCTCAACATTTTTTAATCAGGATGACTGATACCTTCCTTTATGAGACAAGCCCTTTGGCAGCTTGTCTCTCCAGGTGAAGGATACAAGGGCATCTTTTTGTACCCTTCCCTGCTATTTATCTATTCTTGTTAATTTCTTCTCTTAAAGTTTCCTGCAGTCTTTTTATTAGCAGTTTACTCAATATACAAATTTACTTCCATTGTAAGATGCACACTACATTCTGGTCAGCTAGGAACATAAATGTTTGCCACTTCCTATCTCATGGAACCTGTCTTAAGGCATGCTTCCTCTGGGAGACCTGCTTTTAACTAAAATACCTTACAAATATAATTACCAATACAGTGAAACCTTTGTTATCTGGCACTCTGTTAACCAGAAAACTTTATTAACCAACATTGCCCTCCGCCACAATACTGTCACATCTTCAGGTGCGCAGACCTGGCTTGGTTTACCATGATTGGCTTAACAATTTTTTATGTAAGTACTAATCATCTTTAACTCAAAATAGAAATGTGAGACCAACTGCCTTACACTACAAAACTATCAATATTAAAAACTTGAGTTTTACTATTTTGTCCATTGTGTTTTCCTATGTTGATAAAACCAGAATTTTTAGATAACCAGAATGCCCTAATTCCCGAGCGTGCCAGATAACACATGTTTTACTGTATATATAAATATGTCCTTACCTATTATCCACATGCACATTTTGCAAAGATTATGATCAGTGTGATACAGCCTGATGCATTTTGGTAAACTAGTACATAAGTACCAGACCGTGTAGTTCTGTAGGCATACGGTAAATAAAATGTGTTCATACTGAATTGCATCAACTATGTTAATTACTTAAAAAACTCACTAATGCAGTACCTATCACAAGGTATTTCATTTCTTTTCTGACAATTGAAGAGAGTTGCAATGGTGGAGAGCATGAATGTTTGAATTTTGAAGTGGCTTATATTGAATTGCACAACTAATATTGACAAATACTGAATAATAGGGATTTTATAACATTGTGATTGGTGTTTTTTATAGTCCATTTTACTGGGGACATGTTTAGTATGGGTTAGATGATTGACACAATGACATTCTTAATTTTTTGTGTGTGTTTGTTTAGTTGTTGGATAAATTAAAAGATCGCTGGATGCACACTGGTTTATGGAGAAACCTGGAGCTGGTTAAAACAGTCATTGCAGAGCCTAAAGGAGGAGACAAAGCTGACTTTGATGCACTGCTGCAGATATATTATGACGCAATAAAATATAAAGGAGAAAAAGGTAATGGAATGGGTGAGGATGTCTGAATATTTATCTCACATTAAGTAGTTAATGTAGACTTTTCAGACAGAAAGTGTGGCTGATATTTTAAAATATTTCAAAGTCAGACTAAGATCGTGTTGTACAGTTTATTTTACTATGATTTGATATTTTTGGACTTGAGAGGAATTGTGCCATATCATGGTGTAATGTATTCATGTAATGTATTTGTAATGTACAAAACTTAGTTAAAATAACATGGAGGCAAAGTCAAGCACTATGAAGTTAGGAAATGCCAGGATTAGCTTTTGTTCAGCGTCCTTGTGCATATACAATATGATACAGTCTTTAATTGCATTATCACGTACTGTCTGTTCCCTGGGACACTGCTCTTTGAGTGACTGTGCACATATACTTTCTACCGGAGATGTTTGTGAACCCAGTGCACTCAAGCCAGAGACTTTTTCCAGCAGTACCAGCAGGCAGTACATGCAACTCTTTATCCTTATGCACAGAGCAAAGGAAGGAGTGAAGCCACCTTTCCTCTTTTCCCCCGTTCCTTTTTACTGCCCTTGATGAGAGCTGGCAATCCCTGTTGCTCTTGAGCTTTGATTTTCTTCATTACCCAGTTTACAAAAATATTTTATCTATACAACTAAATTAAAAGTACATATTGTTTTTAGATAATTTAATGGTTGGCATGTCTGCATGGTATGGCAATGTGCACTACGAGGATGTGATTTTTAAAGCACACTAACATGTTTGCATTAATTTGCCCATGTAGGCCAGGCTGGTGCATGTTAAAAGTTCCTAGTACACTTTACCATAGTACTGTTTGAAATAGCACTATATTAAAGCACACTAGGGAACTTCTGATGCACTTAGGGTAATGCAGCCTGTGGGAGTATGAATTCCAATCAGAGAGGTGGGTAAGAGGTGGCAAGCTGGCCGGATCCAGGCTGCCACACCACTGAATCCAGCCTGCGGCCACCTCGCTAGGACCCTTACTACACAGCAGTTCATGCCGCTTCTAGCAGCTGGCTGCTAATTGTTCTGGATTCTAGAGAGGGATGGGGAGGCTTCGCACTGTGTCCCCACTCTCTAGCAAAATCTCTCAGGTGCCATTGGCAAGTTTCTGGCCAATAGAAGCTGAGAAATTTTGCTGGAGGCAGGGCAATGAGTGAAGCTTCTTCCCTCCCCCCTCCCCATGCTGGAGCAGAGCCACATGGAGCAGTCAGCCCAGCAGACAGGCAAGGAGCCTGTCTCAGGTTCCTGTAGGGCTGCTGGCTGGGAGCCGCCTACGTAAGTGCCTCCCAGCCACAACCTGCCTCTTTGCCCTCCTCCCCTAACTACTTGCATCAGGCCACCACCCAAACACTCTATATCCCCTCTCCCCACCTTCTCCAGGTCACAGCTCCTTCCCAGACACTGCACTCCTTCCTACACCCCTCCCCCAGGCCAGAATCCTCTCCCGCTCCTCCTGGACCCTGGACCCCAAGCCCCTGCCCCAGATCATAACCCCCTTCTTCACCCAAACTCCCTCTTAGATTCCACGTCATCAGCTGCACCCCAGTCCTCTAAACCAAGCTCCCCCGCTGTCCCAGACCTTGCACCCCCTCCATAGAAGTGCGACTCTTGACCACTTACCAAAATCTTGGAGTAGCCTCTCCATTAAATATTATTTCTCACTCCTGCCCTATCATGTACACAAACCAGACTGTTAGTGTCTTTCACTGTGCAAAGATCCCTAGGATTTAAATAGTGTGCCCTGTGCGTTTCCTGATTGATTTGGGTAAGGGAGATGTGAAGAACAAATGTCCAAATGATGAAGCAAAAGGACTTCTGGGTAAGTTATATTTAGTCAGAAAAGTGATTAAAATCCCTATTCATCACCTGACCTTGACCACAAGATGATGTCTAGGAGTATCCCTTTGGCTGTGTCTGTCTCAGAGCTGGAACTAGAGGGAAAGCTATGTTCCCCTGCCTCTCCCCAGTGCCTCTTCAAAGCATTTGAAGTCATCTTCAGCCTCTGAGACTGACAGACTATTGAAGTCTCATTCTGTGCCCCCAAAAAGGGACAAATCCTCTAAAAAGTCTTCTGGTACCGAGTCCAGGTCTGTTCACAAACACAGCCTTTCATTGGAACCCTCTGAGGTAGCACTGGCAGCACCAGTGGGGAATCTGAGACTTGTGTTTTCTCCTCTAGAAGAAATATATGAGGACCTTGGCACTATTTGGCTTCGATACTAATACTATGGGTGACACCAGCATTCATTGTGTTGAAAGAGCTATTGTGACTCTCTTTCTTAATTGACCAGTACCAGTGATTGCAGTTGGTACTTTTAATCTCCCCAGTACTGCCAGCTCTGTGTGCATAATATGCAGCATGTAACACAGGCACTGCCTGGTACCAGCAGTGTTGACTAATCTCTCTGCCTTCTGTCTACCTGGACTGCTTCTACTGACACTGATGGCTACACCTTCAGTATCAGTACTGCCAGTGCAACACCCACACTCCTTGTCATCTCTTAACCTGAGCAATATAGTTTTTGGTGGGGGCAGGCAATTGCCTTGCTTGCTGCTCCCTCATGCCCATTCTAGCTTTTATATCCAGAAAACCATTTATGACAGCACAGGAGTGCAGTGGAGTTTTTATAACATGATGGGGAAGGAAGCTCAGAACAAAAAAGATTGAGAGCCGCTGTCCTAGTACACTCCTTAAGTTTGTGCCTAAGGTTGTCACTGCAATCCACCTCAATCATACTAGACATCTCTCAATATTCTTTCCAGAGCCCTGCTTTAGCAAAGCTGAAGAAAAGTTTCATATTCTAGGTGTTTGAAGGGCTCTGTAGTTCTTCCTGGACTGCACAGTCAGTTGGTGCTGCAGTCGTCTTTCCAGTAAACCAAGGTCCTAGCACCCTTAAGGAAACTTCTGGAATGGAATGTATATGTGCACAATCAGTGGAAAATAAAAATGGCTACCTGTGCTGCAACTTGTTCTTCCAGATGTATTGTGCACATACGCATTCCATAACTCTCCCACTTTCACTGCTACTTGGGATATTCATTAGAGGGAATGAAGAGGGAAGCAATACCCACACCTCTTTTTATACCTTTGGCTGCATGCATGAGGCAGCCGGGATGCATGTTCCGGCTGCTGGCATTTCTGGCAGAAGTCTGATTCTAGTCCATTGAGTGCATATGTATGAGTGAGATGTATGTACACAACACATCTCAAAGAACAACAGTTAATATCCTGGTAAGTAAGCATTTCCCCCTCCCCGCACCACCTGCTGAGCCCTTGCCTAGCCAGTCCCAGTTTCTCCCTCTGGGTTCCCTTGATGGTTTCTAGCGTCTGTCCCCAGGCTCCTAGTGTCAGTCTGCTTCCCATGCTCCTGATCTGATGTTAGTTTTCCCCTCCCTGGGCTCCTCATCCTAATATCCACCCCAAGTTCCTTGTCATATCGTCCCAAATCCTTGCCCAATCCTAAGCATCTCCACTGGTATTTCTCTCTCCAATTTCTCTTCTCCACACTGTTTCCAAACTACTCCCTCCATTGCCACCTCCTCCCTGCAGGTCTGGGTCCCATCCTCTTTTCAGTCAAGCGACTTCCTCTTTTCCACAGAAAAGCTTCTGCTGTCATTCCTAAAATGTTCAACCTCTGAACTGACCACGAGATTCTCCTAATTTAATGGCAACGGTAGTCTCTCAGATAACTAGATCCTGAATTATTCTTATAGTTAACTTTCTGTGCAGTGTGTACAGTGTGTGTACAATGTAATATGAATGTAATATGTTTACCCTGTTCATTTCTTAGCAAAGCCACCATTTTGCGAAGCATAGAAACATATTTACTGTGCATGACTTTACAAATTTAATCTTATACTTTTTTTTAAATACAGTCAGTACAGCATGATAGTAAGTAAGAGAATATCAGTGTTGAAATGATAAATGAACAGCCCTAATGCTATCGCTAGGTAGAGCTTTCCCCTATGATGCACTTCTATTATGCCCTTACAAGTGTAATATGAAAATTGCTAATTCAGCACATCACTATTATGTCTAAATTATATTAGCTATCATAATACTTTAGAAAAATCATGTATTTTTATTTCTGCTCACTGTTTTCAAACTGATACATATTGCATTATGCTGTATTAATTTTAGTCCTGTCAAAGAATACTTTAAAATTGTCTTTTGATAATTGATTTATTCCCAGAATGATTGCTAAATCTTCTTTTCTTTGTTCAAGATGGCGCACTTCTCATAGCAGTATGCCGGGGTAAAGTTAGTGAAGGCTTGGATTTTTCTGATGATAATGCCCGAGCTGTTATAACTATTGGTATTCCATTTCCAAATGTAAAAGATCTTCAGGTAGGACATCAACACTTAACCAAAACATTTATAACTTGAATTTGTTATGTCTAAAATACTTCACCATGCACAGAATGCTATATTACCTAATTTTGTTCAAGACTCTCACCTGGCCTCATTTTGAATTCTTCAGCATGCTTTCTACATGGTAAAATTGAGAGGTTGTGAGGTTTTTAACACTGCATACTAAGTAATTTCATTTTAAGCTGTGTTTGAACACAGCTACATTACAATGTTTCTTCATTATTTCATAAATAAAGACTATTTATTTATCTGATATTGTAGCATACGTGGTACCTACATATGGTCCAATGTAAATTATGGGGATTTTTTTTAATTTACTTGAGGTTGTTTCCTAAGAGAATAAATAACAGATACAACTTAAACTAAGACTCTTAAAATGGGTAAAATAGGTTGAAAGGCAAAGGGGAGATAACCCAGTGTTGTAAGACTTTTATTAATTCTTTCATTGTTGTCTTATTGTTGGTTGCTGCATGTCCCCCTTCGGTCCCCATCACCTTCTTTAAAATCCCTGTGTGTGTAGCACTCTTCATTTAGCCCGGGAGTAGATAGTAAACTTTTTGGCAAAGCTAATGTTCATGCTCAGCTTGCCTCTTTAAGGTATAAAATTATTCCATGAAATAATCTCTTCCTGGAAGCTGAAAACATTACTTTTTAATATAATTTAGCTTTAGCTGACTTGAGGCATAGCTCTTAAAGTGTCTTCTAAATGTGAATGCCTAAATTAACTAAATTTCTTGGTCAGTTTGTATCTTTGAGTTGGCTAAACTATCAACCCCTTATGCTGCTGAGAAATTTTCACGAGTACACTCACTGACTTCGATGGGACTATTTGTGTCAGTAACAGCTCATCAACGTGTGTAAAAGGGCTCATGTTTAGGTCCATTGTTGTTCTGAAAAGGGATTAAAAATAAAGTATGAAAGATGTAACGGGTAATCTGAGAGAGACTGACTTGCGGTGCATTTACCCTCCTAAAAAGAGTACCCATTGTACGTGTAAATAATACAATTTGTTGTTGTAGTTTGCAACCCTGATTGTTGGTTCAATCTTTATGGGGGTGATAGAGAAGTATTCATGAAGAAGCGGGACCTGACATTGGCAAAACTCTGGCATAATACAGACAAAAGTTGTGGAAGCTTTGCCACATAACTGTCAGTGCATTTTAGTCCTCATTTGCATTTGTTGAGTTATTGTTATTGTCTGTTACATCAAATTCAGTGAGAGATTTGGTTCTGAGCGCTTGTCTATACTTCCAGCTAAATTGGCACTCTTGTGATGGATGCAGTAGTGTTGATTTAGATCTGGTGAAGACAAGTTAAGTCACTGTCAGGGTGCTCTCCCATTGATGTCTGTGCTGCAACTCCCTTAAAGGTGATGGGAGAGCATCTCCCATGGACATAGTGTGGTGCAGACACCATTGTAAGTCATCCTAAATTACATAACTTACATAACTGAAGTAACATAGCTTAATTCGATTTACAGCTTGTCACTCAGCCCTGAGTGCTTGCAGAGTAGTTTCACATCACCGAGTGGTGGCATATTTCATGACTCTCAGCCACTCCCTTGAAAGAAACAGAAATCAGGAAACTCAATTGATGTACTAATTGGAAATCTAAATATGTTGTACAGCATATGGTAGAGGTGGACATGCTTGAGGTATATTTCCAGTGGGACTGAATTCCAAAAACAAGGGCATGCTATGGAGAGAGGCAATCTACAAATTATCTCTGTAGCTTAATTCTTTCTTTGTACTACAGCACCTAGCAGTATGGGGCTCCAGACCATGATTAGATGTTATAGAAGCACCAACATTTATAATGATTAATTAGTTAGATTTCAGAATACATCATCTTAAATGTAGTCTTTTTAACTCTTGTCCACCTGTTTTATCAGGAATAACACAACCTGACATCCTCCAGCAGATAATTCTACTGGTTGCCACATGAGCAAGATAAATTGGATAATAGAATTACTAATTTATACTAATAGATTCACATAATATAATACAGGAATAAAGAAAATACAGATCAAAGGTCCCATAAGTGAAAGTTTTCCAAATTGTCTGAAGCCATTTCTTTCACTGTTAAGTGAAGCAAGGACTGCCAATCTCAATACTGAAAATCTAAGCACAATATTTCAGTGAACAGAATAGGGGACTGCTTATATACACTGAAGGAATCAGTGTGTTTTCATTACATGCAATGTGATATCTTGCTATTGACATTTGTTAGGTATAATAATTTAGGAGTATTTACCACTTTTCTATTCACAACATTTGAAGTATTTTTCTTTTACTGCTATATTTGTTTTATGGGTGCCTGGTTTACACCCAAAGATATATTGCTACAGAGAGTAGAATTTGTTCTTGGCTTACCAGTAACAAACAGTCGAATGGAAGAAGTATTCAGTCTGTTGAAAAGTATTTAAAGAGAGAAGTCAAGAGTGCAGTCAATAGCAAAGCTGTTCTTGTGCTTAAGGTGAATGTTAATGACACACATTCACTGTTTCAACTCATTTAGCACAGCAACTTACTGGAAAATATTCACCAGTTCCTAGAAATATGCCTGTTTTTCTGTTGAGTTAGAAGGTGGCAGTAGTAACACCTGGCCACATTTAAAAGTGTACTTTTGTCTTCACTATGACTGTTTCAAAACTCTTAAAAAAATTGCCAACTAAGTGTCCCAGTTTTTATTTTGAAAATATGGCCACGACAATAAAGTAGCACTGTTTGGAGGTGGATGCAACTCCTCTAAAATAAGACAGTTGTTTAAACAAAAAACAGTTTCATTCTCCATGTTCATTTTTAAATTTAAATAAAATTAATGGAGATTGCCTATCTCCTAGAACTGGAAGGGACCTTGAAAGGTCATCATAGAATCCTAGAATACTAGGACTGGAAGGGACCTCGAGAGGTCTTTGAGTCTCGTCCCCTGCCCTCATGGCAGGACCAAATACTGTCTAGACCATCCCTGATAGACATTTATCTAACCTACTCTTAAATATCTCCAGAGATGGAGATTCCACAACTTCCCTGGGCAATTTATTCCAGTGTTTGACTACCCTGACAGTTAGGAACTTTTTCCTAATGTCCAACCTAAACCTCCCTTGCTGCAGTTTAAGCCCATTGCTTCTTGTTCTATCCCCAGAGGCCAACATGAACAAGTTTTCTCCCTCTTCCTTATGACACCCTTTTAGATATCTGAAAACTGCTATCATGTCCCCCCTCAATCTTCTCTTTTCTAAACTAAACAAACCCAATTCCTTCAGTCTTCCCTCATAGGTCATGTTCTCTAGACGTTTATTCTCGTTGCTCTTCTCTGTACCCTCTCCAATTTCTCCACATCTTTCTTGAAATGCGATGCCCAGAACTGGACACAATACTCCAACTGAGGCCTAACCAGCGCAGAGTAGAGT